CACTGGTTTAGAGGAAGAACAGAATTTGATCCCAAATTGGAAGAATTGGAAGAGGGTGAGAAATGCCTTTTCTGCAGCCTCAAAGAGCATGTCTCTTAATATGGATCTCTTTTTCTTTTTAGCAATCCAAATAGCAGACATATAACCCCCCAGCCCCAAATCAGGGTTAAATGTAGTGCAAAGGGTTAACCCTAGTAATTGGTGAAAAACCATCCTGCATTTACAGAGTCGAAGGACTAAAGTCAGGGGTAAATTGGCTGTTTGACTCTCTCAGAATCCATTCTAATGTTCTCATGGAGGTTTAGACAAATTTGAGATCCATCTGCAATTCTTAAGCAGGATATCTGAGGATGGAACCTCCAGAGTTGGAGGCAGTATATCTCTGAGTGCCTGTTGAAGGGAAGCAACACCAATGAAGGATACTGACTTGAAGTTCAGCCCAAGGCAGTTCTTAGAGGCCTTTGTTCAGCCACTAAGGTCCCCTGGACTTTCTCTCTGCTTTTTTCATGAGCTCTTCCTTTTTCCCATCAACCCATGTCACAAGAAATCCATGAGAGAGAGAATAATTTCTGGAAAGAGCGACAGCAGTGAAAAAAGGGGTCTCTACTCAAAAGCTCAGTTTGCATTTTCACACTCTGAGTTCTGTTTCTTTCTCTGTTTCGTGTTCTGCTTTCCAGCAACCTTGATTGTACTTACAACGCAGTTCTTTGTTCTGAGAAACAACCGATGAAGCAATATGTTTCTCTGTAGTCTGGATTTAACCATAAACTTAAGGATTAAATTAATTTTATATTGCTATCAATAGTTATTAGATGGTTCTTTTTTCCTCTTTTTATGCTGTTAATTAGCTTTCTCTCTCTCTCTTTTTGGTCATGTTTAATTTATTTTAATTTATTCGGTACTGAAGCACCACTATTTACTTTTTCCCCTGGTTGGCAACATAGTTATTTTATTTCAATAAGAACAGCAATAATGCTGTAACAACCAGCAGCCAGAGATGAGGATTGGGAAGGCTACAGGGAGGGAGAATAAGAACCAGCCCTCTAAACAGGGGGCTGGCAGACCTGTTTGAAGACAAAATTCTTGCCATTTGCTCGGCAATAACATGGGAGGAGGGATGGTGGGGGTCTAACGTAATTTACAGCTAAAGGCCAAGGCCACTTGTGCATCTGCTGGAACCAGAGCTGAACAGCTGCTTTAGGATCCAGAATGCAGCCAAGGTTAGAGGTGGAACCTGCAGGTTCTTGCTGATGTTAAGAGAATGAGGCACAGAGGTGAGAGCCAAATCAAAGCGGGGATCCCAGCAAGGCATCAGGAGTAACAGTCTCTTGCTATATTTTTAAAATTTATTTATTTAGCAAATTTATATAGTCACCCCCCTCCCAAAAAGTGACTCTGGGCAGCTTACAACCAGAACAACAATTAAAACCAAATTACAATATAAAAAACATCAGACTTAAATAACAACAAAAATAAAAAACATATATGACAACTGCAGCGAGATTATTATACAGGTAGTCCTCGACTTATGACCACCATTCAAAGTTATGACAGCACTGAAAAAATGACTTGCAGCCAGGCCTCTCACTTATAACTGTTACAGCGCCCCTGCAGTGAGATTATTATACAGGTAGTCCTTGAGTTACGACCATTCGTTTAATGACTGTTTGAAGTTATGACGGCAGTGAAAAAAATTACTTATGGCCGGTTCTTGCACTTATGACTGACACAGTATCTCCATGGTCACATGATCAAAATTCGGGCACTTGGCAACTGGCGTGCATTTATGACAGATTTTTTTTTTAATCCATTTAATCATGTCTGATTCTCGGAGACTGCCT